GTATGTAATTTTAGATTGCTTGCTTCTAGTTAAAAGGTCTTTATAAATTTCCTTATATGGTGCTAAGCACTTATGAAGAATAAAGCAAGCATGGAATAAGAGAAAAATATTCGGCAACATCAGAAGCAGAAGCATCGCGATCTGGCAACACTGAAACAAGTTTCGAGAAGGACAACGTGTATCGACAGAAGGCGAGAAGAGAAAATTTACATACTTAAGTACTAATAGTTCTATTATTTTCGTGAACTATTAGTACTTAAGTATGTAAAAATTTATTACATTTCCTGTTGTACGAGGGTTTTACCCAATTCTCGAACCGTGCCAGAGTGAATCTGTGCTATAAAAGTACCGTGTTATACGGGGGATGGTACCAATTCTCGAACCATGTTAGAGTGAATCCGTGCTATAGAAGTGCCGTGTTATACAGGGGATGGTACCAATTCTCGAACCGTGTTAGAGTGAATCCGTGCTATAGAAGTGCCGTGTTATACGGGGGTTACCTGTACTCTTTTGTCTGCAAAAAGGTTATTAAACCTACAAAACACTGATCTGGATTTAACTGATCACAGATATCATCAAACATTACATAAATTAGTGAAATGTTGACTTATAATGGTTAATTGGTTTTATCATCATCATCATTGTATAAATCATAAGAAAAGAATATAAAATAATAAAGTTCTTAAAAAAATCTGAAAAACTGTGTCTTTGGATACAAAAATTTCTAGTGTTCAGCACTACTGCACATTTTGCAGCTTGCACTTCTAAAATGGTTATAAAAACATGAAATTTAGAAAGTATCATCTCAAATGATTCACTTTTCTCTAGTTTTTTTCATTTCACATCTGTTATCATTGCAGTTGTAAAATAAGTGAAATGAAAAAATAAAAAAGTATTTGAGACAGAACCTTTTAATTTGGAATTTATAAAATGAATTGAAAATATAAATGACTACTAAAACAACAATTTTTTATTGTTTACTTCAATTCTGTTTTATTTACCAAATATATAACAACCTAAAAAAGTTAAATAAAAAGTACTTTTAATGTTGATAATATCCAATAAGAAAATAAGATTGACTCTTTAACATGTTTTCTTATTTACTATAGTTCTCTTTAGCAGGTGAGAACTGAAATGACAATCAAGAATCAGTTTTGTAAATAGTTCTCTGAGAGTCATTACACAGGAAGTGGAAATTCCCAAAAACTTAGTGTTCAAGATACAAATTTAAGTAGGAATGTCTAATATCAATTTAAGTACAGGTTGACTTACAGAAAATAAATGAAAGAGAACTGAAGGCAAGATATATGTTTTTTGGAAAAATTGCAATGGAATATCCATGCAGGTTATATGATGTAATGAAAATGCATCATATAACCTGTTTGCCTTCAAATTAATTTTTAAATACAAGTATTCTATAGGTTATTAGGTTATCCAGATAAAATTATGGTACTTTTGATTAAGAAAATTTAATGTTAAGAAATTGTCATATCTGTATTTTAAAAATACTGTAAATATTAATTGAAAGATATATGAGAATTGTAAAACAATCCTTTTAATACCTTAATTCTCTAGTACGAAACAAAACTGAATAATATTTTCAATCTAACATTTGTGAGGGCCCGGATTTAAGATTCGAATAGTTATATTCATTTTTATTCATTCATTTACCGTTTTGTTTCAAAATCAAACCGATTTTTTTAAAGTTAGGGTTAACACAAAAAGGGAAAAACAACCGACAAATTTTCTCATAAAAATCGCTCATAAAAACTCCGTTCCCACGACAATACTTCCCTGTAGAAGATGAGTTAACTGTTGTGTCATAAGTTTGTCACTTCGCCCATCATTGGTCAAAGAAGATCATCACCTGTGACGTACATGGGGGACATCTCGAAAACAGAGCCCCCATATAAAAGGCAAGTGCGATGACGACACAAGGGGGAAATTAAGTTCTTTTCTCTATACTGTGAGTGTGTGCCCGTGGATTTACCTGCATCTCGTCTCCACCGTCTTTAATAGACTTTGAACTTCGACTTCGAACTTTGGACTGATTTGAACTTTGAACTTGGAAGGACGAACCTCGGATCAACGTTATAACAACCTAATCAGAGGTATTTATCCTACACGCGATGATGTGTAAGCTCTCTCTCGAATATTCGAACCTCGCGGGTAGGGTCGCGACTATTTTATACTTTGCCGTTACTTTATGAACTATACGGATTGAACCCGAGAGGGATTTGTATTCCAATTATTAACTATGTATAAATGTACGGAATAAACGGGTATTTTGTTAACAAATTTGGATTGGTGTGCGTTTCTTCCGACATTTTCCACTCCATACTGAACCCAAAGTCCTCGACGAGATCGCTCGTGATAATTTCCCATCCATCCGCGTATCTATCCGCGATAAATTGATAGATTGGTGTCAGATCCTGACAGGTGAAAGAATCTAACGATCCTTTCTCCTAACCCTTTTCCCCCATCCTTCAGACAAGCGAGACCGGACCTCAAGGTCTTGAGTCGAGTAAGTGGTAGGAGAGGAACATCCTCGTAAACATCCTACCCCTGATTAGTCTCACACATTAATTGATTTGATAAAGATTTTAGTCTTAGATCAAAATGTTAGTCAGTTTTGTTTTGTATTGGAGAATTAAGGTATTATTTTAGTTTACACATATCCAGTTTTCATTAGTGGAGAAAGACAAGATACATATAAGAAAATCTAAAAATAAATATACTATCAAATTAGAAGAAATTTGTACAAGTTCTACACTTACCAATATTGTTTATTATTATAATGAAAATAATACATGTAGCAACCAGTATTTTCTTCTTTGGAATATATTTTCTCTCTCTTTTTAGCTTCTTCCATGTCAATCAGATCACCATGATATTCAAGAACAAATTCTCCTCTTTTAATTAATCGTTTTGAAATAACACCTCTCCCTTTACCTATAATTTCTTTTATCTAGCAAGAAGATTTTGTAAATAAATCATTTATTATTATTAATTTAAAAAATTACAATACTAACTTATTATCTACAAGGGATGATCAATAAATAATCTGCTAATGAATGCAGTGCTACAAAAGTAATTTTTATAATGATGAAACCTGGTAAGAATTGAGAGGTATAAATAAGATAAACAGCAGAATGGCCAATCAATAGAATTCATAATACTACAGCAGAATGCAAACATCTTAAGTAGAGCAATGTACTGTACCATAATATGGTTTCTAACTACAAAAGAGACTGGACCTATAGAGATTCACTGATGCAAGCAAAATGTGTATAGAGAACAGAAACTTTTGCATGCCCAAATGAAAGCATGGGAAAGAGTTGTGAGAGGTGGACAATGTAAGAACAAGAAGTGACCAAGTTGTCAAAAACAGTGGTTACACCAGCAAACATGAAACAGGCAAAATTCAATTACATGGTTTTACATGCCAAGGAGAACACATTCTCCTTGGCAGGTAAAACCATGTAAATTGAGCTTCAGTACTATGCAGATTTTGCATAACTGTCAATACTTCCAAAATGTCTGTGCACAATAAGTACCTTACAATCTGTCAGGGCAGCAGAAGGCAACTCAAATAGCCTTATCATTGCAGCATTTGATGTATGGAAAGGGGAAACTTTCCTGGGCTGAATTGTGACAGGAAAGAAG